GATTCCTGCACCCCCCCACATCCCACCTGCACCCCTCGCACCAAATGGGAGCTGTCCCAGGTAAATGTTCCACACCCCAACCTCCTGCCCCAACCCTGAGCCCCCTCCTGCATCCTTACTCCTTGCCAGACCCTGCACCCCAACCCACAGCCTGCTCCTGCACCCTAACTCCCCCCAGACCCTGCACCCCCAGCCCTGAGCCCCCTTCCACACCCTATGTCCTCGCCAGACCCCACACCCCAACGTTTTTTTACATTTTTTTTTATAAAGTGCTCTTATCCAAAGCGCTTTACAATAGTTAGCTAACGGTACAATCAATATTTGGAGAGATCATTAAGTGGTCTGCCGAGACCCTCAGTGGTTTTCAAGTGGTCTGTGGAAAAGTAAGTTAGACTACAAAAACAATCAAGGTACCTCACTTTATTTTCATTTACTTGCTATTACTTATAGGAGGATGAAGAAAAAAAGAATGAAAAACGGGGGCAGGGGGAGATCAGACAGAAGGTTCTGAATTGTGACAAAAAGTCGAAAGGCCGATATATTGCTAGGAGCAAAAAGTTCCAAAATATTTTTGATTTGGGAAAATGTCAAAGAAAATTCCATTATTTTTTAGATTTTTGGCGACATTTTCAGTGGAAAACTTTGACTTGTTGAAAACCAAACATTTTCAGACACAACCTGGGTTGGGTGGGGCGCAGAGAGGGGGAAATCAGCGTTTTATTTTCCGATGGAAACACCAAATATTTCTGAGGCAAGCAGAAACTTTCCATGGAAATGGGCATTTAGCCAAAACACGCCAATTGTCCATCCAAAAAACATTGATGAAAAATTTCCCACCAGCCCTACTTTCAAGCCCGTTTCTGGGCTGTTGGACACGAAACAATAAGACGAACATTGAGAGCTGATGTCTGTGGGTGGCCGTCTCACTGGGTCTGGTTTTATTACCGTTTATTCTTTAAACGCAGACTAAAACCGTGGGAACAAGTGGTGATCCCAGACACATGACTGTCTGTGCATTGGCTCTGTATGGTGCTTGAAGCTGGGTTCTACTACCTAACTGAGGTAGGATCCCCACTGATTTTCATTACACTTGGGCACCTACCTCCATTAGAGACCTCTGCAAGGGCAGCCTAGAGCACAGTTGTGTTGGGGGAGAAAGTACAATATATTTAAGCCATTCCCCTAAACCCACACAGTAAGGAGGGGGATGGGACTTCAATCTTGACATTTCCTGGTTTGAGGGGATGTTGGCCATTTTAGCCCACACACGAGTTGCCTTTACACAGTACAACCCCGCTCACCTCCTCCGGTGACAGCCATGGCTGGGGATATAGTCCCTGCTGATTTAAACATCCCTGGAGATCCTTCCTCCAGAGGCAAAGTGGCTCCATCTCAGCATCACAGTGAGTTTTGCTTTGTGGTGTTTAAACAGGGCTGGTGGATTTGGTGGGGGCTGGGATCTTGTCGGCTGTAATAGGTTTTTAACCAGCAGCTTGAGTGATGCATGGGAGGTCGGGGGGTCAGGCCCCCAGATGGTGGACATGGACATAGCTCCACTGAATTTAGTGGGGTCACTCTGGATGTACCCCGGTATAACTCGGATGAGAAGCTGGTCCTAACTCCAGCGATTTCACTGAGGTCACTCAATTTTCAATAGGGGGGTAACAGGTCAGATCAGAATCTAGCCCTGACTCCCGGAGGGGGGAGAAAATACCTAACATGTCTTTAAAATGAGTGTAATCTAACCTGGGACCAGTGAAATCTAACTCTGCATGTCCTGGGTTTGTTATGTTTGGCTTTGGGATAATTACAGCCTCCCTGGAAGGTTTTGAACCATAAAAACCTGATACATACTCTCAGCCTTTCCAGCTTCATGTATTTTTTTGCCTTGAACTAAACAGAGGACTAGATGCTTAGTTTTGGGTTACCACCTGTCCGGGTTTTCCCAGAGATGACCTCTTTTTTGGTCCTCCGATCTCTGTCCGGGTGGGCTTCTGAAATATGAACAAGTGTCTTCAGAACTGCGTAGCCGGACAGCAGTGGCTGCTGGATGGCCGCCCAGCTCTGAAGACAGCAGTAAGGGTGGCATGGTACCCCTCCTCCGCTTTCAACTACCCCCTTCCCCTCCTCCTGGCAGTGTCCTCTATTCCGCAGCTTGAAAGATGGTAACCCTACCTCAGCTGGTATAAATTTGAATCACTCTGTGCACTTCAGTGGAGCTATAGCCACGTTACAGCAGCTGCAGAGGTGTCCCTAGGTTCCTCTAGCCCCTAGGGACAGGTCAGTGTAACGTGAAATGCTTTGACTTGTTTGTGAGACGGCATCACTGACCTCATTCCCTGTTACAGTCTGACTGCCAGATCCCCGGCACGGGTACAGCACTGTAGCTCCCTTGCAATGTACAGAGCTTTGCTGATTCACAGCCACTGAGGATCTGGCCTTGATGGCTCCATTTCCCAAGGTGCTCAGCACTCACAAGTGGCACCAGGGCTTTGGAGGGTCTCAGCTCTCATTTAGGTGCCAAAATAAGGGCCTAGATTTTCAGGAGGGCCCAGCAGGTTGGGTGCTGAGTGAAACTGGCTGGGAATCTGCCACCAAAATGTCTTTCCACTGGGAAAAATTAAACAAAATGTCAAAGTCAGTTTGACTTGAACCTGTGTCCAGTTGAGCTGCTGCAGTGCCTCATGGGAGTTGTAGTTCACGTCTCTCCTGCCCCCATTCTCCTCTATGGGCTGGAACAGACTACATTTCCCATGGTGCACAGCAGCCTCCCTTCTGGCTGATCACCACAGTGCACCATCGGAGGGCGACACAGACATGACCACATATGTCCAGGCATGCCCTGGCAGGTGTATTACATCTGTGTCTGAGCATCGTCTCACTATTTCACCAAAAGGGGATCATGTAGGTCTCTACTAAAAAAGAAATACTAGCTGGTTCTCATAGTTATTGTGAATGTTTGCACAGGAAATATTTCTAGAGTTATGTAACATTCAGAATACTGGTTTCCAAAATTGGTGGAGAAGAACCTTATCACCTGAGGCTGGGGGGTCTCAAAGCTGACTCAATCAACACTGAGAACAATCGACATCCACAGACACAAAAATGTGGAGAAAGTCCAGACGAGAGCAACAAAAGTGATGAAAGGTCTAGGAAACATGCCCTATGAGGAAAGATTGGAAAAAACAGCTCGTTTTGTCTGGAGAGGAGAAGATGGAGGGAGGACATGATAATAGTTTTCACGTATATAAAAGGCTGTTACAAGGAGGAGGGTCAAAAATTGTTCTCATTAACCCCTGAGAATAGGAGAAGCAATGGGCATAAATTGCAGCAAAGGAGGTTTAGGTTGGACCTTAGGAAAAACTTCCTAACTGTCAGGGTGGTTCAGCACTGGAATAAATTGCCAGGGAAGTTGTGGAATCTCCGTCATTGGAGGTTTCCACAGTCAACCTGTGGAACTCTTTGCTGGAGGATGTTGTGAAGGCCACAGGATTCAAAAAAGAACAAGATAAATTCATGGAGGATAGATCCATTGATGGCTTTTAGCCAGGATGGGCAGGGATAGTGGCCCTAGCCTCTGTTTGCCAGAAGCTGGGAATGGGCGACAGGGGATGGATAACTTGATAATTCCCTGTTCTGTTCATTCCTCTGGGGCACCTGGCACTGGCCACTGTGGGAAGACAGGATACTGGGCTAGATGGACCTTTGGTCTGACCCCGTATGGCCGTTCTCATGTTAACAGTTTAGACAAACACCTGTCAGGACTGGTCTAGTTATTACGTAGTCCTGCTGTGAGCACAGGGGACTGGACTAGATGACCTCTTGAGGTCCCCTCCAGTCCTACACTTCTATCATTCTATGGCCCAGCCCTGTGTTTTCAGTCTGGGGCAGAAGCAAACTTGATTTCAAAGGTAAAGCTCTGGGACTGTATAGGAGAAGTGAAGCAGGTACAAACGTTACATGGAAGCAACAATTCTGCCAGCAGGTGTCTCATGAAAAGTGGATCCCAGCTCTCTGGAAGAACGGACAAGGCTCCCTCCTGCTGGGAGCAGGTAGCAGCGATTTACGCTGGACTCCTCGGGTTTCCCCGAAAGTGTCACAGGGAGTCCCTTGTTTGTAGTGGGAAGTGGAAACTGGCAGGGCCAAATCGTCCGAGGGTAGAGAGCCCCTTGCAAGCTCCACAGGCCTGTGAGTGAAGCACACGGTATTAGCTCAACAGTGCACACTGACTCTTGCAGATCGCCCGAGGTGCCCGTACTGGCATTGGCTGGCTCTGGGCCTCACATTCGCTGGGAACATCGTGCTGCTGAGAGTTGTGACGGCGCTGGCTGTTCGGGGTGAGTGTGCCAAAACCGTGCGTTTGGGCTGCACAGCAACGCACCATGAACGCAGCACAAGTTGCTGGGCTCAGTGCAGGAATGGCCGGGTGGACTTCTCTGGCCCGTGCGATACAGGTGGTCAGACTAGACCAGGGGTGGGCAAACTATGGTCCGGGGGCCGCATCTGCCCCATCAGACGTTTTAATCCAGCCCTCGAGTTTCCGCCGGGGAGCAGGGTCTAGGGCTTGTCCCGCTCCACACAGCTCCTAGAAGCAGCAGGATGTCCCTAGAATCATAGAATATCAGGGTTGGAAGGGACCTCAGAAGGTCATCTAGTCCAACCCCCTGCTCAAAGCAGGACCAATCCCCAGACAGATTTTTACCCCAGTTCCCTAAATGGCCCCCTCAAGGATTGAACTCACAACCCTGGGTTTAGCAGGCCAATGCTCAAACTCTGAGCTATCCCTCCCCCGTAAAACTAATGGAGATATCCTATCTCCTAGAACTGGAAGGGACCTTGCAAGGTCATCAAGTCCAGCCCCCTCCCTTCACTAGCAGGATCAAGTACTGATTTTGCCCCAGATCCCTAAGTAGCCCCCTCAAGGATTCAACTCACAACCCTGGGTTTAGCCGGCCAATGCTCAAACCACTGAGCTACCCCTCCCTATGCGTAGGGGCAGCCAGAGGGCTCCGGCACACTGCCTCTGCCCCAAGCGCTGCCTGCAAGTCCCATTGGCTGGGAACTGCGGCCAGTTGGAGCTGCAGGGGTGCCGCCTGTGGACGGGGTAGCGCGCAGAGCCACCTGGCCGCGCCTGCATGGAGGAGCCAGAGGGGAGACATGCCGCTGCTTCCGGGAGATGCTTGAGGTAAGCGCCGCCAGGAGCCTGCACCCCTGACCCCGTCCCATGCTCCAACCCCTGCCCGAGCCCTGATCCCCCTCCCACCCTCCGAACCCTTCGGTCCCAGACTGGAACACCCTCCTGCACCCCAAACCCCTCATCACCACCCCCACCCCAGAGCCCAAACCCCCAGCTGGAGCCCTCACCCACCCCCGCCACACCCCTGCCCCAGCCCAGAGCCCCCTCCCACACCCTGAACTCCTCATTTCTGGCCCCACCCCAGAGCCCGCAACCCCAGCCAGAGCCCTCACCCTCTTCTGCACCCCAACC